ATGGGTTCCTTCCTATTTGTAATACGTTCTTTATTTGTTTCGAATCAGTCAAGTTTGAACGATAACAGTTATTCTGTTATCTTTAAAGTACCACTGAGAATCACTATCATGACAGAAACACGCTTCAACCAAAAATATAACTCTACAAACTTACTCTCAATAACAAGACTAATCTTTTTCTGGTCCCTCCTACCATGCGCGTTCACCTCGCAGCTGTAGTTTGATTCATTTTCTTTATCAGTAATGGTGAGCCGGTATCTCACACTCGTGCTGTTTTGTACAATAACTCCATTTTTTCTCCACACAATGTATGGAGCTGGTCCACCTTCTGACGGGCACCACAAAGATGAAGAATGGTTTAACAGGACAAACTGAGTCTCTGATACGAGGTTTAGATTTGGTTCAGCTAAATAGGAAAAAGAATCGCTTCATTGAACAAGGGTCTCAATGGGGGTAACTGTTTGCTGCAAAAATTTTCCATTTCCTATCCACGATGTGTCATTTTGAAAGGATTGAAATCTTAGACGGTTAGTTTCTTGCCTTGTGGCTAATGCGGTCCCGAGGTTACGCGTTTTATCCTGGTGCCGAAAGCAAAAACATTTGGCTTAGGTCCTTGAAGTCTGTTGGAGTAGTATGCAATGTATCAGTGTCCATCAAAACTCCTACAATATCATAACTTACTTCGTTTATGAATTTTTTTGTTTTGTTTTTTTTTTTATTTTAGAATTCATCTAAGAACTAAACCACTGGTCATTAGTGTGTTTCAGATCAATGAAAATTAATTATCAATTTTTTAGAATAACTGAAACTCATTTTTGACATTTCTGTTAAACGTAACGGAAAGAAATTAACTGTTATACGTAAAATGGCCAAAGTTTAATTGTTTGCTGTAAAAGCCATCACCCCATTGAGACCGCCTTAAACCAGTCAACAAGGAACAAAATTCAAACCTATCGCAACTTACCTGTCTCATTCAGTGCCTTGCCACTATAGTTGGAGCCAGAAGAATAATAGTACCTATCCGGATGGGTAAAGTTTAACCACAAACTTTGCCCACTGGATCTTCGGATGGCAGTAACATGATATCCACAATATACACCAAGAAGATTGGCAGACTGATTATGATCATCACGGATCTCAATATATTCCTCATCAGCACAAGGTACTCCAGATAAACTGTTGTATCTCCATATTTCGAGCCATATTTCCACATACTGCCCTTTTTGCACTTGAAGGAGATTTTGAGTTGTACTTGACAGAGGGATATAATCTTGGAGATACACTCCAGAAATCCATGGAACTGTAACAAGTTAAACACCTTCATAAGTGAACAAGTACTCGTGACATTCTCCTTCAAAATAACATTATTTGCTGTTAATTTGAAATCTGTTTGAATCACGTTTCTGTCGGTGTTTGCTTAAAAATGACCCGAGAATAACAATGATTGTTTTTTAGTTAATATTAAGCGATCCTGTAACAAATGTTCATTTTTCATGTATTTGCAGTCATGTTCGGGATTACTAATGGAACTTCCTAATTGCTTCAAGATAACTCATTCATCTACCTGCGAATGAATATAAACTGACGGTGAAAACAATCAAGACTTACGCAGAACAGCAGTTATAGTACATAAGCTCTTGATAGACAGCATCTTTCCTGAAGAGCAAAAAAAATTGACTGGCTTAATTCAACTGGCTTGTTAAAATATGTCCATTCTCAAAGGGCTTACGTATATTCACCGGCAACACCCGAATGCATTTCGTCACAAGAATATCAAAATACATCAAAATTTCTACTCTTTCATTTTCTGTTCAAGTGTGCTGTCGTTCAGAGTTCCTTTTATTTCGAATGGTGCATTTTTCTGTGGGCAGTCGAATACATCACATTGGCAAACATATACAAGCAACTTCAGATATTTCATACAAAAGAACAACTCGAACTCTTAACACATTTTGATCAACTTTGTGAATAAGTATTTCCAGGTTTACGCTGATATTGCGTCAGGATATAGGCACAGAAGTTATACTTTCTGACCATAGTTCTGCCGAATCAGTATGCATAGTTTTATTGCTAGAATATTGTTCAAGGCCAAGCGATAAACCGATTATGCCGCCACAAGAAAAATCCAAAACTCTTGAATCCAACGGATTGCACGACAACATATTTTTGGTAAATGCAAGGAAAGGGGGAAATAATTTTTTTTCGCAGCAAACCACGTTATTTAGATTTGTTCGACAAAGCGACAGAAGCACGTTTGCCGTTCAGTCAGCCCGACAATTCACTGCATCATGTACAGGGCAGTGAAAGCCAACAAGTTTCCCAAAGGACCCAGTACGATCTTCCTCAGGCTTAACACAATTGTCGATCAAGACAACAGCCAGTAGTTACTTTCTCGGTGCTTGTTTTAGTATCCCGCTAAATTCTCTAATTTAAAATTGTTAATTCTTAATTTTCTTCTTTCTCTCTACTTGTTAATCAGGATACCTCACAGCTAGAATAATTTTAACAACACATGTTTTTTTTCTAATCCTCTTTTTGCTACTTGATTATCTCTTTTTACGTTGATAAAGTAGAACATTTGAAATACTCAAGTTGTAATTAGTATTAGTCGTTGTAGAGTGTGAAGGGAAATAACTTAACGTTTAACTATAAGACAATTGCCACCGAAAATTCAAATTTCAACATCAACAAAATTAACTCAACAGTCACTTGTGCATACTCATATTAAAGATATCGACGCGTTTCAGTGCTTTTGTAGTTTTTCTTCTTTCCATTGGAGGGGCGCCAAAAGGACTTTTCTAATTTCATTTTAAAATAAAGTGAAATTAAGTAGAGAAATAAAAGAAAATAAAATACCTGACTGCCGATTATCCCGTTTTATCATCCAGCACGTTGTTATGCTGCCGTTGTATCAACCAACACATACACAAAAAAATTTTTTTATATCCTATATTCACGCATACATATGCAAAACTCTCACAGATGTTTGAAGCTGGTAGCTTTCAGCTGAAAAACGATGTCATTAATTCATCTACGCAACTTATAAATTTACAATACAGTTGTTTCGCCGGTTGCTGTTTGACTCGGCTCAATCCAGAATTTGTGAAAATACCGTTTATAGAAGAAAAAAATTTTGAATTTAATTCTCTAAAGAATAAGGTCCGCGCAATATAAACTTTTCTTTTATCTTTGCCTAGTGATCAAACATATTTTTCTATTGTTGGAAAGAAAGTTTTTATCCCTGTTGATTTTCGCACTACGTGCAACATATGGACTCAGCTTTGAAAAACTCAACATCCGGTTTGATAAGACTAAATTTCTAAATTCTCATTCAGTTTTAAATACAACTTTCGATGAAAGCTTTCATCTTGTCAGAAAGAACGGTCGGGGGATATTCCAGTTATGCAGACGTTTTATTTGAACATAGTGTAGTTAAATCATGCTCAGAGATGGAAATAGTTTTTTTCGTTCTTAGATCTAAGGGAATCAAACAAGATAGTTAAACAGAAATGCATTATTCTGGAATTTTCGACTCCGCAGTCCAGACTGAGCGGTCCTGGTTCGAGTGCCGTCCAGCCTCTTCGTGTCGTTCGTCTTTCCAACCTGTCAAACATGCTTCAAGTTTTTGCAGGGTTTTATGCGGTCTACTATCATCCCGTCCGGCAGGAACGGCATTACTTCCTAGTTGCTTTATGAAAAAAAAGTTTAAGAAAAGATGAAATATCGACTAGCAAATATGGAGGCGCGTATCATCATTCCAACGAGCCAGGCTGTTTTACCTAGTAACTGTTCAATTTTTTCATTAAACCCACATAAAATTCATAACTGTATAGCAGTGCGGTCCAGCTTGAGTGAGTTGCTCTAAGTTTCCTTTTCGGTTTTAATACTAAAATATCTTCGATTAAGTTTGTAACAAATTATCACGTCAAATAACTTTTTAGTATATTCTTTTTGCAGTTATAACCGCGTAGGAGCAACGCTGAAGTAATCATAAGTCAACACTTAAGCGGTTCAATTATATCCGCCGCTTTTTCAAGTTCTGCAGTTATCATTAAGTGTTCACACTGTACATATGTAAGCAAATTATGACAAAATTACATAATACAAAACTATATAATACACCTCGCCTTTCCCCGTTCGAAACAGAAAACCCCGAATATCATACGCTATCAAGGCGGATGCGTCTCTAAAATAAGACGTGCACGTGTTAAGCATGTAATTGATCTCATTGCTATGTTAGAGTTTGTTTCCATGGCCGACGCGGGTGCAGTCGTATTTTCTAACTTATTCACACGTATATCAACGCATCCTTCACAGATGTTTAAAGCCGGTTGGATTTTATACGCAAGTAATCGATAGAGTTATTCAAGACGATGTCAATTGTCGCGAGTTCAATTAAGAATTCTTCAAACTTTTCGGTTCAATTCGTTTCAAGGGCCCATCACTTCGCCGCTGGTAACAAAAAAGAATAACAGATCTCCTCGTTCGAGCTGACGATATATACATAGATATGTATATCTTATAGACGTTTTGTTGTGTAGTATCGCTGAGTATTTTTAACCAGTTGTGCCGTATTTCGGACGAGCCCATAGGGTGATTCAAAATACAAAAAACAAGTAAAAATACTCAACGATAGTAGACCATACTACACAAAAAAAACGTCTAATAAGAGATTTATCATCCAACACGCCAAGTTTTTATTTCATTGCGGGCGAATTTCGCGGATATTTCTGGAGTACAAATGCACTCCACGAAGCACAGTTGGATAATAAGTTCTTGTATCAATTCCTCGTTCAATAAACTGATACACGTTTACGCAGTATATGTAAATTTAGAGAATCATTGATTGTTTTCAGTTTTTTGCCCAATTTTTCCGTGTAAGATCTACCCAAGCACCTTTTCCTTCCCCTCACCCCCTCCCCGATGGGTTTTTTAATTGGGGATATTCCTCTTATCCAGATTCCTCGCAAAGTGAGCCTTGAAAAGACTGGGGCGGCAGACTATCAGCTCTCGAGAAGATGCTCTTGAGCTGTACAGAGGTGTAAGGAGGGCAGAAATTGACTAAATGACACTGCTTTAGCATTGTACAACCGAAAAGATGTTTCCTTCTCATATGTCTGTGAACGATTTGGGTGTATTTGCAGTGGTGATGGTCTTTGGTTGGTTGATTGTCCTTTTGTTCATCTTTGACTTTGTAAGTATGACAAGTTTTCGTCGCTTATGTTGGACAGCGCGCGTGGAATTATTTATTTCCTTAATTCTAACAATTACACGACTTCCCCCTAGAACATTTCTTTTGCGTTGTAAGGGCTGTGCCTGAAAATTAGTGTATACACGTGGGGAGAATTTAATTATTATCTCTTGTATATGAATTCCAAGGCCATCTGTCGATCAGTGTTCACAGCTATCACGTGTTAAGGGGTATGTATCAAAATTTTGGAATGCTAGTACAAATTTGGCCTTTGCTCGATTTGCAGTTGCTAAGACTTTACTTCATTATGCATACAGTTCTCGAATAAAGAAAACAATGGAGAAAACAGTGGATTACTTTGCCTTTGGGACTACGGCTTTGATTTGTTTTTGGATCGCATAATTGAATAAAATCTCGCTTTCTGATTGGTTAACAAAACGAGGTATTTTGCGTGGAGTTGGGAGTTAAAAACAAGGAAGTGTAGAAATCCTGCCGTGGACTGGGGATATAAAGAAACATTGTCCTTTTTTATCTGAATTATGATAAGATGTTGGAATTTTCTTATCCTTTCTGATTCTTAAGGGTAACTGAAGAATTTGGAAAGCAGAAATTATGCACCACTCACCTGAATACCACTTCTTAGGAAAACCAGTTATTTCAAATAACAGGGCACTGACTTTTTTGTCTTATAAGCAGAGGAAACCTGTCTGTCGCATTGAGAGTGGAGTAATACATAATTATATCTTATTAACCGAGCGTGAGGACCATACTGGGAGAATATCGGCCTGAGGTCTTGACAGTATGGACCGAGCGCAGCGAGGTCTATACAAAAAAGACCAAGGGCCGATATTCTTCCAGTATGGTCCCGAGCAAGCTTGGCCGGTTAATAAAAGATTATTTTATTACATGACTGAAGTTCAAAGGGACACAAGTGTGGTATCATTGGGGACCATTCGGGAAAGTGCCCAGCCGGTCCAATACTGAGAGAATATTGACCGGCAATAGAGCATTTTGATTGGTTGATTTTAGTTATTGGCCCTCTGACTTCCCGAGTTGTGTAATAAATATTCATATTCATATCCAGAGGTAGCAAAGTGGGGAGGGGAGGTCCTCATCCCATTTCACACACCATTTTTTTTAAAAGCTCACACAGCACATGTACTTTAAAGAGTATTTCACACATGACATATCTGACAAAAGCGAAAACTTCAAATCTCACCTTACCTTGCCCTTCAGTAAAATTTGTGTATCACTTATTCAATTTGGGCTTAATCGTGCATTACATATAGAGCCTTTGCTACCCTCAGCAGTTTTTCAGCCGGAACATTTTACTCAAGGGCTAGATTAGCCCCTGAAGACCTGTCTTACAGTATTTTTGTTGTCTTTGGGAATTAATTCCTCTTTATGAAAATATTTCCCATTTTTCATTACAGAGGGGTTCATCAAAAGGCCTATCGATTCCAGGAGAGGAACCGTAAGACCTAGAGTAAGTAATTTGTTTAGTACTCACATTTCTGTGCAAGACTTTTCTCCTCCCAGGGATCAGGATAGGTGAGTAAATGACTAGAACATGCCTACATGGAGACATGCCTAAGAATGTACAATGACCCATCTAGGGTTTTTAAACCACATTACTCGGGGGTTTCATCAAGGTTTGGAGCAAGGGGGCATCTGGCTTTGGCAGATTCAATACAGGTGAAGACAATACAAACAGGCGGTTGGGACTCAGTCGTGGTGACCACAATAATAAGGTTATGGGAGTAAAGGAATTGATCACCAACTAAAGAAGCTCTTGATTCTTTGACAAATTCTCCTGGTAAATACCATATGAAATGTACAGAGAATAGTATGGAGAATATGCATACTGATGCAGTAAGGGTGTAAATGGTTATTTAATGAGCAAGACATTTGGCTCTTGCAGTGCCTCTCTCAGTGATGTAGATGGATAAGAGAGAACTATTAGGAAAGCTATAAAAAAGTAGAAATCTGAGAGTGATGTCATGAAATTCAATAAATTTTAGAGAATTTTTCATTCATTTATAGATTGCTAAAGAAACAGCTGACAAGTTCGCTAAAGGTGGTCTACAAGAACATATTTCTTTGTGGAAATGTATGATTGCCATGGCAATTAAAGCTATATCTGTCACAGGAATGGGCCGTTCATTTAGGGACAAAAAGGAGGTTGACGAGTTAGCTGCAATGTATGATGTGGTAAGATTTTGTTTTTTCTTTTTGTGTAGTATACCATTGGACAGCATAGATAGAAAAAAAATATGAAACTTTATCAGCAGAACTTTGTGTTTCATAGTGACTCAATGTAATTTTTGCTTACTAGATAAACTTGAAGCAAGGCAGATTGATGGAGTGAAATTAGGAAGAGGTCATAGCTTTACTTACTGTACTTGAGGATAGTGAAAATTTACAGTTCCCTGTTAAAGTTAAATCTGATCACATCACACTCATCAAACACTCACTTACCCACCGCTCCTTCTCCATGCACTCCTTTTAGTCAGTATTTGGTATGTGCATGAGAAATTTTCCCCCCGATTAGTAATGCGAGGATGCCTTTTCAAATACCACTTACATGGGTCCCCCCGATTAATAATGCAAGGATGCCTTTTCAAATACCACTCACATGGTTGTCCACACACCACAGACAATAATGATAATAATAATAATAATAATAATAATAATAATAATAATTTAGCAATGGACATTCCACTTGGTGGCTCTTCTTGTCCATTGTTTGCAGATTGAATTGGAATTTGGAATGTTGTTTTTTGCAGAGGGAAGAAAACCTGAGGACTTGGAGAAAAACCCTGGGAACAAGGACAAGAACCAACAACAAACTCAACCCACATGTGAAACCAGGTCCGGGAATCTAACTCAGGCCACAGTGGTGGGAGGCGAGTGCTCTCACCGCTGCGCCATCCCTGCTCCCCACAGATGCATCAGTTTCTTTTCTTCATAAGGCCAGCACGTCGGCCGACAGTCAGCTGATACATTGGCAGATGCATTGGTAGAATCGGATTCTTGACCTTTACTGCTGTGTCTACAATCAGATCCAGCTATTTGCACCTCCAAGTTCACAGGCACCTCCCTTACACTCATCTGCTGTCAGCAAACCTAACACTTTGAATTCCACTTATAGTGGAAAAGGTCCCTTGAGAAACTTGAATTAATACATATTGTAAAGGTTTGAAGTTGTGATAAAGAGTTGATATTCTTCGTAGTGCTGGGATGAGATGGAAGAACATCTCACATCACCTTCTCCTGGTCCAGATAGTGACAGAGAGATTAATTTTCAAAAGGTACAAACACAATATTACTGGTATCTGGTGTAATGTCAGCTGCATACATGTGTATGAATAATGTTTTGCTTTTAAACTATTACGATTAACCCTATGACCCCTAAGAGAGGAAAGGAAAGCAGGATAAAGTGACTCAGAGTCAATTAAGTCTCACTAATAGTGACCTGTAATCTCCCCTTACAACATCACCCCTGAATCACACATTTAAATCACAAGGATGAAGGACATGATCAACTTACGCAATTCTTGATTCTTAAACAAATTCTCCTTGCCAGCCCTGCGACAAAGAGAAATGTACAGAGAACATTTGATGTTAAGTTATAAAATGGTTAATCAATTTGCATGATATCCTGATGGCAACCTGGGTGATTTTTCCCCTTCTCTCTCCATGTTTTAACTCTGTGATCCATGTCAGCCATATGCCTTCTGAATAATTTGAGCACAGAGATTTTAGTGCGAGTCAAATCATATTTTCTAGATGAAATTTTTCTCTCTTCTTGTTACCTTTGTGCTTTAAAATGTGTTGATATGATAAGGAGAAATTCGTATTTGGTCGCCCCTGGAAGTGAAAGGATCTACTGTTTACTAGTATATTTTTGGCATGGTTTTTGTGTAAGCTTAATTATTCCTTTTTATTCTGTGGAAATTCATACTCTTGAGAGTCTATTTTTCTCATTATTTTCAGCTCAATCAAAGATGCAGAAACTTGTTAGAGAAAGAGATGTCAGAATTCTAAAAAAGCTGGAAAGCTATTCATAGACTTTATGTTGGATAATGACTTCATGGATGAAAAGGAGGTAATTTTAGACTTTAATGAAATGATTTGATTTACAGTCCTCTTTTCAACAAGTGCACCCTCTCTAATAAATGTCCCCTCGAATTGGATTTTGTTAATAAGGGCCCCTATTCTAATAAGCGCCCCTATTGTGTACCTCCCTCATTCCAATAAGCGCCCATAATATATAATATTGTAATAGAAAAATCCGAGCCCCCAGATGGGACGTGAACCCACGACCCTCCGTGATCTAGTCGGATGCTCTAACCACTGAGCTACTGGAGACTCTATGGTGAGCAAGGGTCAATTTGTGGGACTCGACTGGAACCGCATCGCGCGGCTACCCAGCCAAGTATTGGTAAGCCCCTTTGAAACTCACTAACAGCATCACGCTGTCACATTAAAGCATATCAAGATGCGGCCAACCATGGTTCAAGTCCCATCTGGGGCTCGGATTTTTCTATTACACTAAAAATTGTTTCATCTTTACATGTTCACTCTGGAGATTGGGTAGCCGCATACATGACATTCCCAAAATCATCCAGGCGCAGATTGTCCAAGTGCCGGTCGAACCATTCATTTCTCGTTCTCATTTTGTCGCTCAAGGGTCGGCCTGCCTGGTGAAACATTGTCTCTTTGGACAGCTCGGCCTTCACTTCCTGGCTTCTGTAGGTGGAGCGCGGCTGTTGCTTGCACCATTTTTCTCTACTGGCCACATAGTGGACGCAGGAGTCCCGGCACTAGTCCAGGTCTCCGAATTATTCCTCATGGTCATCATCCTCTGAGAAAAGCCCCTCTGGCAGTTTTAAGCTATCGAAGAGGAACAGCTGGAAGTTGAATGCCGTGGGTTCTTCTAGAGCTTCGGGAAGCCCAGCTGGGAAGTACGGTTCGATCAGCCGGCTGGTAGACGTCCCCCTAAAGCCTCACTACCAAAAATTGGTCTTCGTCTCAATCTCTCAACTGCTATGTCGCCGTCATTGCACTGTTCAAAAGATCCCATTTTAAAATTCTGTGACAATTGCTTGGCTAGTTGTTCTAGCAAGAAAGCATCCAGGAATAGCAAGTCCGTTTTCCAGTCTTTTTATCCTTTTCAAACCACAGGGGTTTCATTAAGGGTCGGGCACTGGGAAATTGACTGGTTGTGTAGATGGTTTGTGGTCACCCTTAGGAGTCACTTGCATTTGTGAATGAAAGGATATGAAGAAATGAGCTTTGCTGGTTGATATGATAGTAGTTTTATCCTAACTTTTCACCCATACATGGAGCATAAGCAGACCACTATGTGTTCAGGGTTACTAGTTCAAGGCGACATGAAACTAACAAAATCTAAGAGAGTTAAGAATAAAGCTCTGAAACAACAACAAACATATGAAACATATGTATGAACTGCGGTTATGAAACGTATATGTGCACGATCCTTCGCAGTAAAGCTCTGAAAATTGCATTTTCAGATTATTTCTCGGTCTAAATATCTCAATAAAGTTAAATTCAATGTTAAGGCAAAAACAATACCAGAAATGAGTTGATTGACATTCAGTTATGTAACGTTATTGAGATATTCAGACCAAGATCACAGTAATTCAGAAGTGCAATTTTCAGAGCTTTATCCATAACTCTCGTAGATTTTGTTCGTTTCAAGTCAAAAATTAATAATTTCAAACACTTAGTGTGGTGCGTCTGTGCATGGAGTGTACTTAATGTTAAATTCAAAACTAGCCAAGTGACGTTATGTGACGTTATGTTTCATCGCACGCCTTAAGGAGAGGAGTATATCTTTTAATCAGGACTATTTCAAATTTTTAAGGGTAAAACATTGGTAAGTTTAATGCCATTTTTTCCGGGATATTGAATGAGGAGCGGTTAAACGCTTGAAAACTAGAATAAGAGATTAACATTTTTTTACTAACTCATTACTTTAACGCCAAAGAATTAAGAAAAAAGGCAAACAATGGCGCAGAATGTTGCCAGATAGCACCACAGAAAAGATGGTACATTGATATAAGAATGGTTTAAGGAACGTATCAATCCTATACATAATCTTCATAAATGACTCTATTTGATTTCTATCTCTACTTCAGTTCAATATTTGACTTTTTTGCACGCGTGTTACAGAGTGGCGCAAAAACCCACATTCAGGTCCTTTTCTTGTAGTCTGGGTTTGCTTCTCCCTCTTGATGAGTTACAAGGTGAAGTTCGTGGTATGGTTGGCAATAACTTGCTGACAACCCAGCTTGACACGCGAAAGATGGATAAACCGTGGATTGTATCCTCTGTGAAGACAGCGGAGCTCTAATTTTCACTCTTTGTGGTGAAGGTGTGGAAGGCGGCGATACAATCTGAATGGAAAATCGCGACCCAAACATTGGAGTGATCATACTACAGCAACAGCAGATGTCATCGTGGGACAAAAACGAAAGTCTTAGTTTTTCCGTTTGCCGCAAGCGCGGAACTTGGGTCTTTGGAAGATAACGAACAACGCTAGAAGTCGCCAACCAGTTTGACTCGCCACTAGAAGTTAGAGGACTTACATCAATGTATTTTTGTGATACGTCAAAACTTTTATTTATGAACTGTTACCACAGAAATGGACCCCAAGTAAGCCTTGGACTCCCAAGATCTGATTGTTAATTCTCCCTCTAACTGCTACACATTTCCTCGGTTTTAACGTTGTCGGAAATGCCGGGTGAACTCAACGAAGACAGCGAGGAACAAACACTCGATACGTGAAGACAACTTTAATAGAATAAAAACTGAACACGCTTTCATCTAGCCTCCTAAGCAGACGCTCTTTGGGCTCGTCACGCAATCTTCCTCCCCCACGAACGTTAGACCAATCACAGTGCACTTCCCGATCAAGGCAGCGAACTTTGAACCTTGATGAATTTTCTCTTGTTGACGGTGTTTCCTGAACATTTAGCCAAGTGCCTCCACCGAGTATATCATAACTTTCGCCTATTGTTCGATCATTTTCGGCGTTAGAAGAAGTAGAAGTGGTAGGGGATTGTTCACATTTCAGTGATTTCGCTGCAGATCGTTGTTGCACTTGTAAAGTTGTTGTAGGTTCGATCGGCACGTCGATGTTCTCAATGACCCCGTCCTTTTCAGCGGAATTTCGACGTAAACGTTTCGTTCTATTTGCTACTTGCTTAAAGTCTTCCTTTATCTCATCCTGAATGGATCGCAAATTTGTTTTAGCTTTATCAAAACGAAGTAACCGCTTGTAGCACTTATTGCAGACGAACGGGTCGCTGGAAGAAAACACACTCAAATCTGTTTGCACAGCGCATTCAATCAAGTATGCAAAATCCACTCTTACCAAACACCCTTTTTCTCGCCTGCGGGTTTAATGGAAAACTGCATAGAAAACAGTTATTTTCGACGGTTTTTTTTGGAGTTTCTGAAGCAAGGTTTTGAGATCCGTTTTCCATGAGTAATAAGAAATGCGAGAAAATTAAACCCCCTTTTGGGGGTTGTTCTATCACTGCCTATGATTGGCTTTCTATTGAACAATAACCAAGCGCCAGTTGGCTCTTCGGTGATCTCCATGTGCTCTCCGTCTGATCTGTTTGAACAAAGGGAAAGGAATGTGCTCATTCGCTTCAGCAGACGTTTGTGGGGGAGGAAGATTGCGTGACGAGCTTAAAGAACGTCTGCGTAGGAGGCTGGCTTTCATCCGGGCTACACACTTATATCTCAGCTAACAACTCGTCATGTAAAACAAACGAAATATGGTCACACTTGTCAATTGGTCACGAGAATTTGGTGTTCAATCAAGGAAACCTCTTGGACCTGCCTGATAAATTGTAGTATTCTCACCACCAGTTAACTGGATAATGTATGGATATTATAGGGAGAAGTAGCATGTAAATCTCCTCATGGAGTCAAAGGGTTAAGGCAATCGTTTAGTTCTTAATGAAGGATATCTGA